CAGAGGGGCCATGATGAAGCCATTCCACAGCAAATTTCAGAGCACTTCAGACTGCAGGGGCATCTGGATCTTTTCAAAATTTTCAACTATTTAAATGACATCTTTAAAAAAATTTAGCATACCTGCACTGCATCCTCTTGCCACATCACTTGCTTTTATACAATTATCACCTCACTTTTTTCAACTTCTAACCCTCCGGAAAAATAAAACTTGGACAAATGTTAGCTCTGAACTTCTCTCAGAAATCTGGAGTATGCAAACAAAACCTGTGAAGTGTTGCTTCTTTGATTCACCTCATTACTTAGAACCATAGGTCATTCTGTGTTCTGTGGGAAAAATCCTACATGTTTCATGGCTCTGTTTAAATAAAAAGCCTGTCACAAAACATGCTTAATTTCTATGACCATATTTAATTGTCTTCTTCCTAGCCATTCTATAGAAATAGGTTAATCTCTTTAATGGCAGTTTCTCTTTTCTTGAAAAAACAAAAATTTTTTTAACCTCCTTTTCTTATCTGTTTTCTTATCTGTTTCCCTCTTTGCTTATAAGCATCTCTTTTGTACAGCTCATGCATATACTGGTTGAACCCATATTTAAATTACTACATGATACTTTCTCACTTTTCAAGCATTATTGGGCACTTGCTGTATGCAGGGCAAAATTTCATGCCTTCTCAAAAGGACATAGAAATCTGAAATAGGGGTCTTCTCACTAGTTTTCTACAGATTTGAAAATTTACTGCACTGCAAAAAAAAAAAAAGAGTTTGGAGACAAAATAAATCATAACCTTTAAGGAAATATTCCTCCCAAAAGAGCTCAGTACTATTTTTAGTGCCTTATAGATATAAAGCCATTCTGTTAATTAAAATATGTATTTATTAGATTATACTTGGCTTCTTTGTATGTTTGGTATGTTTGATATGTAAGATAAATTGAAATGTTTTCATTTTCCACAGTATATGAAGGAACAGGAGCCTGAAAATAGAGTGAGTTGAGGACAGGAAATTCTATTTTGGTGAAAATATTAGTATATTTTCTATTTTGTTCCCACCTGTAATAACGACTTAGGATGTAAACACATTAAATATTAATATTGATTCAAGAATTAAATTATCAAAACATTACTAGGGGAAATAAAAGATGTAAATAAAGTGGGAGGAAGATTATGTTTGTGGTAGATCAATGTTATTAAGGTGTCATCTGAGCTAAATTGATATACAGATTCAGTGCAATCCTATCAACATTTTGCTGAAATTGACAAGCTGTGAGATTTATTTGGAAAATAAAAGGACCTAGAAAAGTGAAAACCACTTCCAAAATGAAGGAGAAAGTTGCAGGATTAACACTGTCTGATTAGAAGACTTAAAATCTACAATAAATCAAGACAATGTGGTATTGGCATTGTGATCACCAAGTAGACCATGGATCAGAATAGAGCTTCCAATAAATCTACACTCTTACGCACAACTGGTTTTTGGCAAAGATGCAAAAGCAGTTCAGTTGTTCCAAGACAATTAAACATATTTGGAATAAAGTAAATACAACAAAAATAAAAGGTGTGGAAAAAAATACCTTTAAGCAGCCATTCATACCACATTCAAAAATCAGCTGAACAATGGATCATAAACTATAAAGAAGAGAAATCCCTGTGACCTTGGATTGGGCTAAGCTGTTTTGGATACAACACCGGAAAGCATGATCCATAAAGAAAAAATTGAGAAATTGGACTTGATTCATATGAAAAAACTTCTGTTCTTTATAAAACAATTATAAGAATTAAACATGAGCCACAGACTGAGAGAAAACTATAAATTCTTGCCCATGTTTCACGCAGGCAATGGAAATGGGGCTCCCCTCCGTGGAATAGGCTGGCTGCGAAATAAAAGCTAAGAAAAATAGAACAGTGAAAAAAAACCACAGGACACAGAAAACAGAGGCAGGACAAGCTAGCAGATCATAGGAACTGAGCTTCTATATTAAAAACCAAAATGGAGCCCATGCTTGCTGGCTGTATATCAGGGGACATCAAAGGTCTTCCATCGAACGTTCTTCACCAGAAAGGATTATAGGTGGGCTGTCCAGTTCCCAATGGGTTATGCCCATCTCTGAAGCAACCAGGAGAGATCTTCCTAGCAGAGGAAGATAAAGGTCATGTGCCTTGAGCAATCTATGGTGCGGGAGAGCCAGGTTAAACCTAAAAACTCCCTGGCTTCTTGCCCAGAGAAGATCTTCCTCGTGGGGTTTTCACGGATGGCTCCCCGCAATAAATCATATTTCTAGTAAAAGATTTGTATATAGAACATTTAAACAACACTGAAAGCTCAATAGTAAGAAAACAACCAATATTTAAAATGGGGGGAAAATTCAAACAGACTTTTCACCGAAGAGATACAAGTGGCAATAAGTACAATAAGATATTAAACATCATTAATCATCAGAAAAATGCAAATTAAAACCACCACGGTTGATAATACTGATACCTATTAGAATTGCAAAAATTGAAGACTTGCCATACCAACTGTTGATAAGGGTGTGGAGAAAGTGGGGGTCTCATGCACTGCTGATGGGAATGTGAAATGACGCACACACTTTGGAAAATGAACTAGCAGTTTGTATAAATATGTGGTTCAGTCCTTCCACTCCTAGGTATTAATATTTAAAAATGAAACCCACATAGACTTGTATACAGATATTCATAGCAGATTGATCTCTAACAAACAAAAACTCAAAACAACCTACATGTCCGTCAGCAGGTAGAACAAGCTGCTAACCATCCAATGGAGTACTGTTCTACAACACAAAGAAATGAACTATTGATACACGTTGCAAATGGATGAATCTTCATATTAATGATGCTGAGTGAAAGGAGCCACACTCTCACACACACACACACACACACACACACACACACACACACACCACATGCTATATAATTACATTCATATAAAATTCTGGAAAATCCAAACATAGCAAAAAGGAAATTAGTAGTTTTCTGGGGATGGGGCAGATGGGAAAGGACTGGAAGGATGGATTTACAAAGGTCACAGAAAGACTTCTGTGGGTAGGGGATTTGTCAATTATCTTCACGGTGGTAATGGTTACAAGGTACGTATATATGTCAAAGTGTGCCAAACTTTACATTTAAAGTGTTCATTTTGTTCTGTATCCACATTTCCGAGGTCCCCAAGGTTATCCACTTGTTTGGAGATTTACTAGGACTCCAGCACTCGGTGAATAATTGTACTCATGGCTAACGTTTACTGTAAACAACACAGAATACAAAGTGGATTAGGAAGAATAAAGACATGGGGCAGAATCTGTAGGAATCTGTGTACCAGCTTCCTCTGTTCTCCCCTCCCTTGAGTGAGCAGGCAGAGCACACATTCCCTCCAGCAGCAGAAACCTAGCTACAGATGTGCAGTGTGTATGCCCAGGGAAACCAGTTTAAAACTTCAGAGTTCATGGGTTTTACTGAGAGCTGGTCATGTAGCTACCCCTTGCCTACCAAAATTTTTGATTTAAAGAATAAGTGGGTGTTTAATACCCCAAATAGACAAAATAGCCTTAGCAGCATAGGACATGTTTCCCGGCAAGTTCCCCAGCTAAGGGCCAGCCTTGCAAATGGTCCTTTTAAAAAATGACAGTCGTGGGCCTGTACACTTTTTTTTTTTTTTTTTTTTTAGTCTGTACCTCAGTAAAGTTTTTTTCTAATTATAAAATTTAGAATTTGCATAAGACAGTTGTGATTAATTTATTGAAAAAGTGATAGAAATATAAAAATAGTAGTTTCAGATTTGAGGAAGACCAGTGCAGTGAGACTCTTCTTTACCTGAAACGCTTCAGGCCCTTAAAATCTACTGGAATAAGGTAGGACATTAAGCTTAAGTGAAATTGGGGGTGCTTAGCTGGTGGGAGCTTCTAATTACTTTCTAATAGCATGACTTCTGTTCCAATTGTGTTTGAAAATCTTTCCTAGCATATCGCTCTTCTTCATTTCATTAAAAATTTGATAATCGGTATTTTAACCCTGGGTTACCCAATCGTGGCGACCCAGTTCAATTTTATAGTAAATAAAAGATAAAGCGCTGGTGTCAAAATTATAATTACCTCAACAGCAGGAGTTGGTTTCTGATGGCCATGGGCTCCAGCATGCTATGCATCTGCCCAAGGAAGAGTGCTAATTTGCATTCCAGTGCTGTGTGGGCTAGCAGAAGATGGCAATAGAGATGGTTTTCCTTGGAAATGCTGCCTGAAATTGACAAGCTTTCTTACGAACATTTCCCCTTAAAGAAGTACAGCAAATCATTCTCAGATGAGGGTGTGTTAACTGGTATTCCACCGTGCATAACCATGTGGCAGGAAGAATATCAAATACTTCAACACCTTTGTGAGGCATTTATCTTCTCTACTTTGGCCTGACTGCCTTGAAAGGCAGGTAATTTTTTTTTTTTTTAAGGGTGTTTCTTTTTGTCACTGTGTAGGATGCCTACTGTCCTGAGTCTGGATCCCATTATTAATGTCCCAGCCAAGATGTCTGTGTATATACAGCTGTAAATTAAAAGAAAGGACATTCCCATGGCTCCTCTGATTGCAGGTTTTGCTCTTACTGAGTCATGAATTTCCCTGAAGGGAAAGTAAACCTTCTCCCTTCAGAAGATACGAAGTATTGTGTGAAAGATTCAACTTTGAAACAAATGGAAAATATTCAATAGCCTCAACTTAGCTTCAAGTAAGTGATTCAGGTATTGACACCTGCTTTCTATTAAGGCTTGAGCTTTAAACCAGCTGCATTTATACTAGTAGATGCTGAGGGCACTTAGTGGCCAAACCATAATGAATTGGGCTGGCATATGTACCCACGGAAGGCTTCTGTTTAGAAACCTTCATCTTTTGAAATATGTACCACCAATCCCTCCAATTTCTTCTGTGTGGGTCATGATCCTTTGCTTGCTTCTTTTCCAGAACAAAACTTAAAACACATCTCTTTCCCCCTTTTGTAGATGCGAACCACGCGTAAGGTTTCTGTCTGGCCAGTGGGCCTGGTTGGTGGTCGACGCTATGAACGTCCATTGGTGGAAAATGGAAAAGTCGTTGGTTGGTACACCGGCTGGAGAGCAGACAGGCCTTTTGCCATCGACATGGCAGGTGAGGAGTGTGATGGTGACATTTGTTCCTGCCTGACTGCCCTTAGGATGCTTCCATTTACAACAGGCTCCATGAAAAGGAGGCTTTAAAAGCCCAATTTGGATAAAATCCTAGATCATAACATATTCAGCAGGTAAAATATTTAAACATTCAAGATAGGCTTTTTGGTTAGTCCATGTGGAGATTGATTTTGGAAGTGATCAGAAAATGCTGATTCCTTTCCATTTTGCCACCTCTCTGACCCTTTATCTAATAAACATTTACAAGCCAGGTACTGGGTTGAGCATTGGGGTTTGGCAGTGAGAATCAGACCTGGCCCCTGTAGGCTGGAACCTTTTGGTGCCTCTCTCAAGAAGACTGATTCATATATTAAACACATACCAATTTTATTGATACCTTTAGTAATAACTTAAAATTGACAAGCCGTTTTAATGCTTATTGATAAATTTGATGCCTTATTGATACATTCATTAAGTAGCTAAAATATAAAATGGATTACTAGTTTTTTAAGCATTTCTTAGCTTTGAGTATAACTTTTTTTTAAAGAGAGAGAGAATTTTTTAATATTTTTAGTTTTCGGGGGACACAACGTCTTTATTTTATTTTTATGTGGTGCTGAGGACCGAACCCAGCGCCTCACGCATGCCAGGCGAACGCACTACTGCTTGAGCCACATCCCCATCCCTTGAGTATAACTTTTATATTTTCATCCAAACCAACCAACTGAATTGAATCAGACCTTTAGTAGACCACAAGTTTTAAAATGCTATTTTATCATAAAGTGACTCATTTTCTAGAGGTTATATAAAATGATGCCTGTGATTATTGTGGAAGGTTGTAGTTTGGAATATGAGGCTGAGAGTTGGGAAAAAAAATCTGACATCCGTAACCTGGAAGATGAAGGCAGAAAGTCTTCAAAAATTGATCTCATCCATCACCAGGGCTGCCTGTGTGTCAGCCTGTGCATGGCCAAAACTTTGTGTATATTTCCCAACCACAGTCAAAATCCCTGTGCTCAGAATTTTGATTGATGAAGGCTGTGCTGTGAACTGGATTCACCACTTTTATTCTGATGATACTATAAATGGAAGGGAGCAAGAGTTGAAGAATGCGAGGAGTAAGTTGGGGGCCAAGTTCTCGTGAATGGCTGGGTGGTGGATCTGCCACACTGCATCATGAGAGAGGACGAAATGGGATGTGTTTACTTGGCATTTAACAGACATTTCCAGAGCACCTGGTTTTTGGGGAGTGTATATTGTGGTCTTTGATCCCCAGGGCAGTCTACATCTCTTGCTCTTACCTGGCTACCCTCTGCCATGTCCTTCATGCCCTGACCTCTCCATCCCTCTCACAACCAAAGCCATACCCTTGGTTTTCATATAGCCCCACAGGTAGGCTGGCTTCTCAGCCAAAACATTTACTTGGAGGCAGATGGAGTAGCCCATGAGTCATATTTGGAAAGTCTGATGACTCTCGAAAGAGGCCTTTCCAGTCTAGTCTGAGTCTATAGTTCTTAAAATATAAGGCTGATCATAATGTGTCTTTTGAAAATTGAGCCTCTGGCTTGACTGCAGATAGCCTTGGGCAGAAAATTTAGAGAACATTAGTGTAAGTCTTTCTACTTCCCTGGGATTTAGTGTCCTGTGTGAAATAAGGAAATGGCATGAAATGACCACCAAGGTCTGCTAATAGATCCTTCCTCTTGCTAGTTTCCCACCTTGGAAAGAACAAATACAATACAATATAAAGGAGTCAGTGGACAGATCTTTGGTCCTAATATTTCCTAAAGCAACCACAACCGCTATTGTTGTTGTTGTTGTTGTTGTTGTTGTTCCTCCTCCTCCTCCTCCTCCTTCTTCTCCTCCGCCTCTTTTAATTTTTATTGTAATCATTACCACATATTACTTTGCTGTTTGAGATGGGATCTTACTATGTTTTCTGGCTGGTCTTGAACTTGTGGGTTCAAGTGATCCTTCTACCGTCAGCCTCCTGAGTATCTGGGATTACAGATATGCACTACCACACTCAGCTTGCACATATTAATTTTGCAAATTAGTGGAATTTGTTGTGATATTTTCACCCATGTATGCATTGTGTATTGATTATGTCCAGTCACTTGTATTCTATGCTTAACTCCCTCCCTGCTCCCTTCTTTCCCCTTGCACTATCCCTAATAATCCCTCTTCTACATTCAGGTCATCTTTTCTTTATTTATTTTTAATTTTCATGTATGAAATGTATGATACTTGTCTTTCTGTGTCTAGCTTATTTTGCTTAATGTGATGTCCTCTAGTTCCATACATTTCCTGCAAATGACAGGATTTCATTCTTCTTTACGAATAATACTCTATTGTGTATATTTACCATATTTTCTTTATCCATTCCACTATTGATAGAGACCTCAGTTGATTCCATATCTTAGCTATTGTGAATAGTGCCCCCAAAACATGGGTATGTAGGTAGGTATCTCTTTTTATGCTGAATTCATTTCCTTTGAATATGTAATATCAGGGTTGGGATAGCTGGATCATATGGTGGATGTATTTTTAGTTTTTAAGGAATTTTGATACTGTTTTCTGTAATGGTTAAACTAATTAACATTCCCACCAACAGTGTCTGAGTGTTTCTTTTTTCCACATCCTCACCAACATTTGTTATTTTTATGTTAGTTAGCCATTATAACTGGGGTGAGATGGTATCTTGTGGTTTTTATTTGCATTTCTCCAATAGCTAAAGATATTTTTTCACATATTTATTGGTCTTTTATAGTTTCTCTTTTGAGAAGTATTTGCTCAGATCATTTGGTCATTTTTAATTGGATTACTTGTTTTTTGTTGTTGTAAAGTGTGAATTATTTATGTATTGTAGATATTAACCCTCTGTCAGATGAATAGCTAGCAAACATTTTCTCCCATTCTGTAGGTACACTCTTCACTCTATTGATTGTTTCCTTTGCTGTGCAGAAGCTTTTTAGTTTGATGTAATCCCATTTGTCAACTTTTGCTTTTGCTTCCTATGAGTCTTATTCAGGAACTCATTGCCTGTACCAATATCTTGAAGTGTTTCTCTTATATTTCTTTTAGTAGTTCCAGAGTTTCATGTCTTGTATTAAAGTCTTTGGCCCACATTGAGTTGATTTTTTTGTGTGCAGGGTGAGGGATGGGGTTAAGTTTCTGTATTGTATATGTGGGAAGTTTTCCTAGTACTATTTGTTAAAGAGGTTTGTTATCCATTGTATGTTTTGACACCTTGGTCAGCTGAAGTTGTGTGGATTTATTTATGGGCTCTCTATTCTGTTCCATTGGTCTATGGGTCTATTTTTACTCCAATACCATCATGGTTTTATGACTGTGGGTTTATAATGTCTTAAAATCAGATATTGTGATGCCTCTAGCTTTGCACTTTTTGCTCAAGTTTGCTTTAGCTATTCAAGGTCTTTTGCATTTCAATATGAATTTTAGGATTTTTTTCCCTAGTTTTATGAAGAACGTTATCAGTGTTTTGTTGGAGTACATTGAATCTGTAGAGTGCTTTGGGTACTATGGACATTTAATTGGTATTCTTCTAAACCATGAATTGTAAGTTCTTTCCATCTTTCAGTGTCATAATTTTCATTGGTCTTTTTACTTTTTAAATTAAGTTTATTCCTGCCTATGGTGTGTTTTGTTGTTTTATTTCTGTGACTATTGTGAATGAGATTTCTTTCATGATTTTGTAGCAAATTTATTATTGGTGTATAGAAAAGCTATTTATTTTTGCATGCTCATTTTATAGCCCACTACTTAACTGAATTCCTTTATTAGTTCTAATACTCTTTTGGTGGGTCTTTAGGTTTTCCTATGTATAGAGTCATATCATCTGCAAAGATAATTTAATTTCTTTCCTATTTGTGTGCCTTTTATTTCCTAATTGCTTTAGCTAAAATTTCTAGCAATATATTGAATAAGTGTAGTGAAATTGGACACCCTTATTTTGTTCTTGATCTTAGAGGAACTGCTTTCACTTTTTTCTCATTCAGTATGATGTTGACTATGGGTTTTTCATATACAACCTTTATTATGTTGAGGTATAGTCCTTCTTTAATACCTAAATTACTCAGGGCTTTCATTATGAAGGGATGTTGCATTTATCAAATATTTTTTCTCTATCTACAGTATGACATTTATTTTCTGTGTATCTCATATATTATATTTATTGATTTGTGTGTGTCAAACCATCCTTGCATCCCTGGAATGAAACCAGTTTGATAATGGCCTATCGTGTTGATATGCCATTGAATTCTATTTGCTAGTATTTTATCAAGGATCTTTTTAATATACTTTTTTATTTTTTTAGTCATAGATGAACACAGTATCTTTATTTTATTTATTTTCATGTGATACTGAGGATTGAGGCCAGTGGCTCACATGTGCAAGGCAAATGCTCCACCACTTATTGAGGATCTTTGCAATTGTGTTCATCAGGGATATTGGTCTATAGTTTTATTTTTATTGTGTCCTTGTGAGGTTTTGTAACAGGCTAATGTTGGCCATAGCTACAGTTTTTGTTTTGTTTTGTTTGTTTGGTACTGGGAATTGAACCCAGGGATACTTTATCACTGAACTACACCCCCAGCCCTTTTTATTCTTTTTTTTTTTTTTTTTTTGAGACAGGGTCTTGCTAAGTTGCTAAGGTTGGTCTGAAACTTGCGATCCTCCTGCCTCAGCCTCCTGAGTCACTAGGATTGAAGGCATGTGCCACTGTGCCTGGCCCAAGCCTTGTTTTAACACAAACCCCAACACAGTTCTCTTTACACATGGAACTTTGGCCCTAGGAGCAGAGTGCAGTTGGGTTTGGTAGTTGATTGGTGGATACACTACTCTGCCAACTCAGTGAGACCCTGGGATTTCTACTAGTAGACTCTAGAACAGCTCAGGTATCTGACAGCTGGCTAAAAGTGAAGCAGTCCATACCACATTTTTAGTTCCACTTTGAGGGCTGGGAATTACTTTCAAGTGATA